CATTTGTTCAGTCATGTATGGTACTTTTAGAGATGGTCAAATCGCATCCGGATATCCGGCTGCTTTTGGCAGCAAAAATAGCCATCCGCATCCGGCATCCGAACTCCGCTGCGGGTATTCGTCGGCCGCAGCGATATGCGAGCGGGTATCCTCGGATACCCGCCCTTTAAATGGACGGCAAGGGACCGGCTGGAAGGGTTTCCTTGCAGTCGACGAGGTACATGTACCTCGCCGACTGATAGGATTTCCTTACAGTCGCCGAGGTACATCTACCTCGTCAACCAGAAGGGGTTTCTTCCGGCCGACAAGGTACATGTACCTTGCCGGCTGGAAGGACTTCCTTCCGGCCGACGAGGTACATGTACCTTGCCGGCTGGAAGGACTTCCTTCCGGCCGACGAGGTACATGTACCTCGTCGACCGGAAGCCGGCGAGGTACATGCCTCGTCGACTGGAAGGATTTCCTTCCAGCCGGACATCCCCCCTTCTGGCCTCGGGTATCCTTTGGGATACCCGGATACCCGCCCAAATTTCTGGGAAAAGGGCACATCCAAACCCCAATCCGTATCCCCTGGCGGGTATCCGCTGGCGCTGGCGGGTATCCGCCAGGGGATAGCGGGTATCCGCAACGGATACCCCGCGACCATCTCTAGTACTTTTCCCAAGTACATAATCTTACGAGTACGGTTTATTGTATTATTGGGGAAGTACGCTTATGTAAAAATACATTGTCTTGTACTCAAGGATGAATACAATACAATTATGTTATTCAAAGTTGAAATGCATGAAATCATAGAGTGCATAAGATTATAATCCATATTTTTTTGGTGGGAGTTTTCCACTTTATAATTAGGCTAAGGAGCCGGGGCCTTAACGTATTTCATTACGGCCGTTTGCATTTGCTGTCACAGCCAAAATTTTGACTTTGTACACCTCTATTAAGGGGGATTTTGAGGGTTCTCATCACACCCAAAAAAGATGAGATGTGTACAGCATCTCTGATATGTATCACAACAAGTACATATGTACAACACTAGCCTCAAAGGTGGTTATTTCAAATCACACATCACCACCACCACCACACAACATGGACCCCCATCACCCTGAAAACCAAACCCCCTTATTATTAACCAGTTCCATGAACTGGTCACTGGTGGTATGAACTCCACTGTACAATGTGGTGAATGATACTGTGTTTCTACGCAGAAAATGTAAAACTTTCTCATTATATATTTATATATTGTAGATAAGGTAAAAATAACATCAGAAATGTTTTTCTCAGCCAAAGTAACCCCTAGTAACCCAACACAACTACCCCCATATCACTCATAGTTTATAAGTTACATGGAATTCAGCCTGTCACAAGATATTCCTTGGATTTAAGGCATTGTCCCAAACCTTGGGAATCCCGAACTGCCCCGGTCCCGGACCCCGAAGTTTGGGACTCGGGATGGGGTCAGAGGAGCCCCAAAACCCCGTGAATTTGTGGGGTGTCATATAGGCTTTGTTTCATGGGAAACAACAGAGAAAAACAAGCAAAACAAGAAGAAAAAACAAGAAAAAGCAAGAAAAAAACAAGAAAAAATTAGAAAAAAATTAGAAAAAATTAGAAAAAATTGGGAAAAATAAGAAAAGGACACAAAAAGAAACAAGATGAGGGCTCAGAACGGAATTCACGGGGCTTTGGGGCAGTCCCGGGATTCCCGTGGTCCGGGACTTGGCACAGCCTTCCAGCCCCGTCCCGAACCCCGGGAAAATGCCTTACTTGGATTCTCAACTATGACCATACAGTGCGCATCACCTCTTCTTGACTACCCCGCACCTGCAAAAAAATTGAACTTTGATCTGTATGTTTTTTCACACCAACCATGCTACATGTGTCAACAATGCATATTTGAGCTCTAGTGAAGTAGTGGAACTCAAAAATATAAAGCAAGATTGTGTAGCATGCAAGACAAAAAAAGTTTGAAATTTTCAAGTTCAAAATTTGGAACACCCATGGAAAAAGGCCATACTATGGCCTAGTGGGTATGTATTATGCACATAGACCATCTAGATACATGATATTGAGGGAAGAAGGAGAAAAAAATAGGAAAACTCAGTGCCAGTTGTCCGGCTAACTTGCAGTCATAATTGAAACATCCATCATTGGCCCTTGGAATGCAACGATTAGATCTCATCAATGATTTCAATTGGCTGGAGCTTTGGCTGTTGCAAGCATTTTGGTTTTTGTACATGGCTTTGTTCTGATTGTGTCTTGTCTGCTGATTTGTATGGACACAAATCTCAAAAAAAAAAATTCAAAGAAAAAAAATGGCATTGAAAAAAAGTGAAAAAAATTCAAAAAAATTCAACTCCCATTTTAGAAAATTTGGAACACCCTCCTGGGGGTAGTTCAGAAGATGTGATGTGCGCTGTAGCTCATTATGTATTCAGGTTCCAAATGGGCTGGGTTTGGGTCAAAAAATGGTGACCAAACCCGCCCCGCCAAATTCTTGGGGCGGGGCGGGTCGGGGAAATAATGGTATAATGTTGACCAAACCCGGCCCAAATACACAGTGCCTTGGGTTGGGTCAGGTCGGGTCTTGGTTTGGGTCCGGGTCAACCCAGCAAATGATCAGTCAATTGCTTTCAATCAGGTCAGTTGGTCAATCTCAAGCCGACCCGAATACAATCTGTCCTGATCATACCCACCCCGCTGACCCGTCGGATTGAATCCGGGTTGGGTCAATTTCCAACCCTAGCCTGCTCAGACCCGCCCCGTGACCGCCGGGTCACGGGTACCCAGCGGGTTGACCCAACCCACTTGGATCTTGATTATGTATACAGGTTGCATAGTGAATCTTGAATTCTTTGTTTCATATTAAATTCATTTACTGGCTCATACTGCATATTGAATTGACTTGTAGGTGCACATGCATTCTGTAAGAGTCAAATGTACTGCTCACTGCATTTGGAGGGTGAGCAAGATAATAGTCTTGGAGAGCTTCTAGGACCGTTGGTTATTGTGAGCCTGGGTCTCAAATGTGACAGCATGACACAAGGTTAGGGGGACAATTCTAGATGTATTTCAAGGGGATAAGGAAATACCACTAGAATAATAGAAAAGAGAGAGAGAAAGAAAAGAGAAATGAAATGAATAATATTTTTATTTTTTATTTATTTTATAATCAAGGTTTGATGCAGTCTTACTTTCCTGTGAAAATATGGCTGTTCTATAGCGGAATGAATCTACCCCTCCTTACTCAAATGAAACTGAGAACGGTACCTGGTATCAATATGTCAATCCGGCCACTATTTTTTAGATCTAAGATCAAGGGTCTTTAAAGGGAAACCTATGTGGTTTTTAGTTATACCACCAAACAGAGAATGAAGATGACTTGATTTGATATGATGATGTTTGAGGCAGCGCTTTAGTAGAAAGAGAATGAAGTGTTCATTCAGAGAGACAGAGAAGAAACTTAGCAGAAAGATGCATGCTGAACTTGAAGGAATGACTTACTTATTGGTGATCCTGACACAATGGGTGGGAAAATTCCAATGAGTAAGGGACTCATAAAAATAACACGGCAATGATATGGCGGTGAATCCAAGTTGAGTTATGCTGGTTTTCTGGTCTGAGTTGGTCTGGGTGGGTCTGAAGCTTGAGATCCTGAAATGAAACTCAGTATCCTCTGAGAGATTTCAGAGTTGTATTACATAATCACACATGTACATGTGGTAGAGAGT